AAGTTGTCATTTCATTTAAAAGTCGATCAACTTCATTAAGCTGAAATATATCAAATAGATATTTAGTGTAAATAAAAACCGGACAAAAAAAAAAAAGAAAGTTCGTTTGATTAGATCTTTCTTCATGAGTTATGCTTGTTTTACTGAAGAATATGCAGCCTTATGCAGAATATTACGAGAGTGACAAGTAATTACCAACTGAAATTTTTCACACTAATAGATTTGAGTAAAATGAGCATAACTCGAAAATAATAGGACGTACTCTTTTCGAATTCTTATTCATACTACGATTTCTATTTATGAGCAAAATATGAGTTCAATAGGAGAATACTAGTTGACATTTTTGTTTTATGTGTGATACGAATAAATTCTAGAATAGTTTTCTCTAGATCGGGATCGAGACTAATAAAAAAGAAACTACCAGGACCGGAAAATCTTGGTCCTGCACCAGCGTTGGAACCGGTCCGGCCCGGGCCGGTAGAAACCGGAATTCCACTGGTTGAAAGTTTTGAAAAATCTTCTTTGTTAACCCTGTTTTTGACCATGAAAACTAAGGTGTGACATGTTTTTTCTGTCAGAATGCGTAAAAAAGTGCTCAAAACATATGCTATATTAATCGTTTTTCTCTGAGGTTCTCTTTAAAAAGGTTGATTATGATGAGTGTCTCTTACATGCGCCTTAAACTATTTCATATTTGGAGCCATTTTTCTAAAAATCGGTTTTCAAAAAAACATTCGACATTTTTCCACCGGTTTTTTAGTCGGTTTTCACCGGTTGGACATGTGATTCCAACCGGCCGGACCGGACCGGTTTACCATTTCTCAATCGATTTCAATCCTGTCCTGCACATCTCTATCTAGGATACTACTATTTATTAGCTGCAATATTGTATTTGTTTTTGCTTGTCACGATCTGCGATAAAAATTTTAAAGTAACTTTTTTTTTGTATTAATGAAAATAACTTTATCTCAGGTAAATTTTAATGTGTATCTATATAATGTTTTTCTCTCAAAATTGCTAATGATTATTGTGTCATAGAAACAATCTATTGATTGTTTTTTATATACTTTTTGTGAAGCTTCTGGTGTTCGATTTGTTTGAACTAATCGATTAAGTCTATTTCTTAATCGTTGTAAATGTTCTAAAGAAGTTTGATATTCAAATAAAGTATTTTTTTCCTTTTGGAATAAGTTGATCAAATGTTTCAACATTTCTTCTATTAGTTAAATCATTAATTAATATTCGTGTTTGTTTTAACCATTGTTCACAATTTATATTAATATAATGATATAATTCTGTAAGATTTTTTATTTCTTCCATATTTTCTTCTTCACTCATTAAATCTTGTTCAAGTTGTGCCCATCGACGTATTATTTCATTAAGACGACGTCTTACACGTTCACGTTCATTTTTATCAATTAATTGTGATGATAATGTTGATGAAAGTAATTGTAAACGATCGATTAATGAACGATGTGTTTGCATTTCATTTGTTAAATCCTTTAAAAGAAAACAAACAAGAACACTTTAATTTATTTTTTTAAAGATTTCTTATATTATACTTTTAATAAATCTAAATTTTGTCGAAGATCAATACCATATGATTGTTGTGTTTTAGTTTCAATTATTTGAATTATTTTTAATGTATTTTCCATAAGATTTTCATATTCATCACGTATTGTATTATAAGCATTTAATTCTGATAGTTTTTCATTAAAACGTGCTTTTACTTCAGTCATATCGTTCAATAATACGTGTAATCATTTTATCTAAATCATCCGATATATTTCCATATACACGTTTATAATTATTTAATGATTGTTCAAATAATTCATAATTTGTTGTTAAATCATCATCAATTTTCTATTAAAAAAAAAAAGAAGAATTGATTTTGAATTTCAAAAAAAAACAAACTTTAAGTTTTTGATCAGTTTCATCATTTATTGTTGGACGTAATTCAATAAGTTGAACTTTCGTACGTTGAATTATTGATAAAATTGTACAAGCATTTTGACGTAATTTTTCTTGTTCTTGAACTTGTTAATCAAGATTTTCAATTGTTTTTGTTGTTTCATTTTTTAAACTAAGATTTAAATAATAAAAAAAAAATTAATAAAAAAAAAGATATTTGTTTATTTAAATTACTTTAGAAGATCTTATAAAATATCTTCTTGTTTTTTTTCTAATGAACGAATTATTTGTTGATCACATTTTCTTTCAGTTAATGTTAATATTAAATCATTCACTTCAGATAAATGTGATGTTTCCAAATCAACATCTTTGATAAAACTCTTTAAAAAAAAAAGAAAGAATTAAAATATGTTCTATATGTTGCAAATTAGAGCTGATCGAGTTGCGGCGGGCTCTATTGCAAACAATATTTTTGTTAAAAGAGAATATGGAAATTATACAAGAAATGAAATTAGTTGAATATTTTCTTACAGCGAAACCATCCGAAATTGATACCTGCTGTTTTTTCTTCTTGGGAAAAAGTAATGTTTAAAAAACTTTTCTAGATAATTTTTACGAAAAAAAAAACGTTTCGAATTGTTTGTTAAACAATACAATCCTATACTTTCATGTCTATTGATCGTCTAGTTAAATCGATACTACCATAACCACTGTCGATACTTTAATGTAATTCTTGTCGTTTACGATTTGTAAAAGTTTTGACTTTATTTAATATTTTTTCAATACGATCTCGAATAGTTTCATTTTCCTAAATAGAAAATTTTTAAATTTTTTATTTTCAAAACAAAAAAAAGATTTTTCAAAATCTACTTCATAAGATCTTTTTGCTCGATCAAGACTATCTCGAATAGTTTCTACTGAACTAGCCATATATTTTAATTCTCGATCAATATCTGATGAACTTGATATATTTAATGATTTTTTAAAATCACATCCAAGATATTGTAAAGCTGAAAATGTTGAATCAATTTCTGAAATAAGTGTTTCTGCACTCTATAATACAGAAAATAATGATTAAAATAGTTTTTTTTTCATTTGTTTTTTTTACATCTGGTGCTTTTTCAATCATGAGCTTGTCCGGCTAACGGTCAACCAGACTGATTAAAGTAGAACCTATCTATTTCTCAAGGCTGACTATATCATGTTGTAGAGAACACTTTGCTCTGTCAGAAAATGTAGTCGTTTCTTTTTTTTCTCATAAAGGAGAGAAAAGATGCACGACAGACAACATAGGTAGACTTCTTGAAATATCTATCCGTTTTCGTGCTTTTGAAGAAACTTTTGAAAAAAGAACAGAATTTTAACTAAAAATTGAAGCGTCATATATATTACGCATGGCAAGGTTTGGACTTTCTTCTGATATAATTTTCAGCTGCTTTATGAGTAGTAGAAAAAAACAGGGAATATCTGAAAACTCCATAAAATCTGAAGTGAGTGCGTTACCGATTAGGGCTTTTAGTTTAGTTTACGCCACAATCATACAAGCATTTAAGTTGATACTTAAGAACTTCCGTTACCTTTCCATGAACTATCAAAGGGCTAGATTGGTTTTTACTTACATGTTTTTTCTGCCGAAAAAAATGGTAACGCACTCACCTTACCGACCCACTTCCATGTTTTAAACCCCATATATGTATGTTTGATGAGATGGATTGCTTCTATAATAAATGGCTTTCAATATGATTTATTAATGTTGCTATCTTATAGAGATGTCAACAAGCCATGATTTCTCTTGGCTTCACGTATCAGGCTTTAGGTTAAATTAGGTCTGGCAGGTAGACCTACCATCGGAGCTTAGGAGTTCACCAATTCATATTTGATCGATTGATATGTTGACTGAGGATACGTGTGAATTACATTTTGCACCTTCATCATATATTTCATAGAAATCTCGACTGGCTATTTCCTCCTTTTTCGCAAAGAAATGACAAAATGAAACGAAAACCGAAACCATTACTCGATTGAAATATGGCATAAAAACTTAATAAATGAATATTTCAACTAGAACAATTTTTCAATAATATTTTGTCAAAGAAATAAATATAAAATTCATACATTCTTGTTTCTGGACGAAATATGCTATTCAGTATCGATTATAAGAGTGATTTAACAGATAACGGAAAAGTACTTGTGATATACTAACAGTTATGGAAGCACAAACATTAGCTCTACGACACTATTTCGTATCCTATTTTTTATTGTGAAATCTTATATAATTTTGCTACCAAAGTCGAAGAAAGCTATTTTAACACGTCTGAAGTGTGAGAGAAAACAACAAGTCCGCCAGGAAAAAAAATTAGAATATGAAAAAGTGAGTGCGTTACCAGAACGTGAGTGCGTTACCGTAATATTTTGACTACAGGTCTAAAGCAGCACAATATTTTT